GGCGTCAACTCCTAGGGGCCCAAGTCCCTTCAGCCCCTCCAATAAAATATTTGAGCTCCCCCTACCCAAAAATTGTTGAGCATTGCTGCCTTTCTTCCTTTTCCATGTTTGGACTTTGTTTTCCAATAAGCTCTGTAAATGAACTTGTAAAAACATTGCTGGATGGTAAGAGAGCTGGGATTGGGCAAAAACCTCTGACATTGTTTGTTATGGCCCTTGTGATTGGAGGGGGTTGGGGAGAGAATGCAAACTGCTTGCTACAGGACTTGGAGACACGCAATGAAGCTAATTCTTGGAAGAAGAAGAGGAAGAAGAAGAAGAAGAAGAAGAGTTGTTGTTTGGACTTGATATCCCGCCTTTCACTCCCCTTAAGGAGTCTCAAAGCGGCTAACAATCTCCTTTCACTTCCTCCCCCACAACAAACACTCTGTGAGATGAGCGGGGCTGAGAGACTTCAGAGAAGTGTGACTAGCCTAAGGTCACCCAGCAGCTGCATGTGGAGGAGCGGGGAAGTGAACCCGGTTCACCAGATTACAAGTCTACCACTCTTAACCACTACACCATGCTGGAAGATTCAGGACAGACTAAATAAAGTATTGTTTCATGCAGAACATAATTAAACTACAGAAATGGCTTCCACAAGAGGTAGTGATGGCTGCCATCTCGGATGGCTTTAAAAGAGGATTAGATAAATTGATGAAGCACAAGGCTCCACTGATGGCTACTGGCTGGTATGGCTATGTTCTCCCTGAATACCAGCATCTGGAAAGCAAAGGTGAGGAGAGGGCTGTTGCATTCAACTTCTGCTTTCAGATCCCAAAAGGAACCTGGCTGCCACTGTGAGAACAGGAATCTGGACTAGATGGGCCATTGACATGATCCAGCAAGGCTCTGCTTATGTTCTGAATAGGGAAAACTGACTCAGTGTGCTGGGCCCGGGGGTAACCTGTGAAACGCAGTCCAGGACCGGTTCAGAATCCAAAGGTTCTGCTAGTAATCAGTCCGACAGGGCCAAGGCAGGACACGAGGCAGGAAACCAGGCAAGGACAGATACAGGATCTCAGGCAGGATCTAGCATACAGCAATGTTGCTCCCGCAACCTGGGGTGGGGTCTGACAGCCTTTTATCTCTGACAGGGTAACGTCTGGTCCTGATCCCCTGGTGACTCACCTCCCTGTCTCGCCCGAAGGCGAGCACTCCTCCTGCAAATACTCAGGTCTCTCCTTCTCTCAGACCTTAGTCTCTGCAGCTCAGGAGACGTCGGTGGGTTACTAGACCAAGGGTCCACCTCAGCCTCCCCTGACCCAACTGGTGGTGGAGCAGCTGTAAGTGATGGCCCAGCTGAAGGCAACAAGGTAATCCCCGCATCTGGAGTCAGGGCAGGCTCAGGCCCCTGACTCAGACCAGCTGGTGTTTGTTGCAGGGGAACCTGTGCAGACTGGGGCTCTTCAGGATCAGGCCCCATACTTGGTTCAGATTATGCCTGAGGCAAAGGATTCGGTGCAGACTGAGACTCCTCTGGTTCTGTGACAATGAAACAGTAATAATTTCTCATAAAACCACCAGCAGGATTCTAGATTCAGGTAGGTAGCCGTGTTGGTCTGAAGCAGTCAAAATAAATTTAAAAAATTAAAAAATTGTCTAGTAGCACCTTAGAGACACTTGTGCATGCAAGCTTATACCCAGAACATGTTGATGGATCTCAACCATAACTCTTGCTACCAGCTGCAAAGTCAGTGAATTCCAGGATGACAAACAGGGACAGAACTTGCTGACTAGTAACTTGATTTTTAGTTAGCTTTATTATATCAGCAGAGTAAAGCACAGCTTTGTACAAGTTACTATATACACAGACTAGATTCAAACTCCTTCACCAAACTCAAAAGCTCCAACAACAAAACTGCTGTGTCATACAGTGGTACCTCGGGTTAAAAACTTAATTCATTCTGGAGGTCCGTTCTTAACCTGAAACTGTTCTTAGCCTGAGGTACCACTTTAGCTAATAGGGCCTCCTGCCGCCGCCGTGTGATTTCTGTTCTCACCCTGAAGCAAAGTTCTTAACCCGAGGTACTATTTCTGGGTTAGCGGAGTCTGTAACCTGAAGCGTCTGTAACCTGAGGTACCACTGTACTACTTATTAGGAAGAACTTAGCCAATCACCACCTGTTGCTAGGCTTCCTTGTTTCCAAGCAGACTTTCTCATGTACTGTGTTTAACTTGGCTTGTTGCCAACCCACTAATTGTTCACTTCATAAGCTGCTGGAACTCAAAGTCTCAACAGAACAAACTTAGCTGGTCTCTAAGGTGCTACTGGACAATTTTTAGTTTTTTTTATTTATTTTGACTGTGTCAGACCAACACGGCTACCTACCTGAATCTAGAATCATGGAAGGCACCACATTGAGCTGCATGAATGGAAGTCCATCAACCTCACAAAGAAACTTGCACAGGTACAGACATGTCCTAGGTATCTGAAGAAGTGTGCATGCATACAAAAGCTTATACCCAGAACATATTTGTTGTTGTTGTTTAGTCGTGTCCGAATCTTCGTGACCCCATGGACCAGAGCATGCCAGGGACTCCTGTCTTCCACTGCCTCCCGCAGTTTGGTCAAACTCCTTCATGGATCACTGCCTTGCTGTGGCGAAGGGGCTTGAATAACTCAGAGAAGCTATGAGCTATGGCATGCAGGGCCACCCAAGATGACCAGGTCATAGTGGAGAGTTTTGACCAAATGTGGTCCACCTGGAGCAGGAACCGGCAAGCCACTCCAGTATCCCTGCCAAGAAAACTCCATGGACAAGGACAAAGAACAAAGTCAATTCGCCTCTAAGGTGCTACTGGACATTTTTTTCAAAATTCATTTATTTATTTCACCAGCAAGATGTAGACCTCACCCTTGTCTTAATGTCCATGTCTACATTCTTTCTCTCTGCCTGCCACAAACAGGGCTTGAAGACAAACTGCTGTCTGTCATCCAGCAGTTGTTTTTCAGAGATGCATTGCTTGAACATGGAAGCTCCACTTAGCCATTACAACTAATGGCCACTGCTAGCCACTTCCTCCTTGCACTTATCTGTTCCCCTTCTAAAACCATCTAAGGGGCCACCCCTGCACCTGGTGACAATGAATTCAAATAATTATAAGAAAGTACCGCATGAACCAATCTTAAGAAGGACTTGCGAAACCTCTTCAAGCTAGGCTTGCACTTTGCTCTTACTGCCTGGGTTGCTGCTCTCTAGAACAGTTCCCTGTGCAATTAGAATCATAGAATCATAGAATCATAGAATCATAGAGTTGGAAGAGACCACAAGGGCCATCGAGTCCAACCCCCTGCCAAGCAGGAAACACAATCAGAGCACTCCTGACATATGGTTGTCAAGCCTCTGCTTAAAGACCTCCAGAGAAGGAGACTCCACCACACTCCTTGGCAGCAAATTCCACTGTTGAACAGCTCTTACTGTCAGGAAGTTCTTCCTAATGTTTAGGTGGAATCTTCTTTCTTGTAGTTTGGATCCATTGCTCCGTGTCCACTTCTCTGGAGCAGCAGAAAACAACCTTTCTCCCTCTATGTGACATCCTTTTATATATTTGAACATGGCTATCATATCACCCCTTAACCTCCTCTTCTCCAGGCTAAACATGCCCAGCTCCCTTAGCCGTTCCTCATAAGGCATCGTTTCCAGGCCTTTGACCATTTTGGTTGCCCTCCTCTGGACACGTTCCAGTTTGTCAGTGTCCTTCTTGAACTGTGGTGCCCAGAACTGGACACAGTACTCCAGGTGAGGTCTGACCAGAGCAGAATACAGTGGCACTATTACTTCCCTTGATCTAGATGCTATACTCCTATTGATGCAGCCCAGAATTGTATTGGCTTTTTTAGCTGCCGCGTCACACTGTTGGCTCATGTCAAGCTTGTGGTCAACCAAGACTCCTAGATCCTTTTCACATGTACTGCTCTCAAGCCAGGTGTCACCCATCTTGAATTTGTGCCTCTCATTTTTTTTGCCCAAGTGCAATACTTTACATTTCTCCCTGTTAAAATTCATCTTGTTTGTTTTGGCCCAGTTCTCTAATCTGTCAAGGTCGTTTTGAAGTGTGATCCTGTCCTCTGGGGTGTTAGCCACCCCTCCCAGTTTGGTGTCATCTGCAAATTTGATCAGGATGCCCTTGAGTCCATCATCCAAGTCGTTGGTAAAGATGTTGAATAAGACCGGGCCCAAGACAGAACCCTGTGGCACCCCACTAGTCACTCTTCTCCAGGATGAAGAGGAACCATTGATGAGCACCCTTTGGGTTCGGTCAGTCAGCCAGTTACAAATCCACTGAGTGGTAGCATAGTCAAGACCTCATTTTACCAGCTTCTTTACAAGAATATCATGGGGCACCTTGTCAGACGCCTTGCTGAAATCAAGGTAGGCTACATCCACTGCGTTCCCTTCATCTACCAGGCTTGTAATTCTGTCAAAAAACGAGATCAGGTTAGTCTGACATGACTTATTTTTCAGAAATCCATGCTGACTATTGGTGATCACAGCATTCCTTTCTAGGTGCTCACAGACTGTTTGCTTAATGATCTGCTCCAGAATCTTCCCTGGTATTGATGTCAGACTGACTGGATGGTAATTATTTGGGTCCTCTCTTTTCCCCTTTTTGAAAATAGGGACACAATTTGCCCTCCTCCAGTCTGCCAGGACTTCGCCTGTTCTCCAGGAATTCTCAAAGATGACTGCCAGTGGTTCTAAGGGATACCCTAATTAATTACAGAGTTTCTCTAAGCTCCTTAAATTAAATTTGGCTTGGGGTGGAGGCAGGAATGCTACTGGATTAAATAAAGAGGGATTATGCTAAGTCAACTCTACATATTTATTTTATCACAGCTCAATGATTTCTTTTCAAAGCATGGTACTCCAGTTTGTTCAGCTGGTGATGTGACCAGTGAAGTGTACAGGTTGTCTGGCCTTGCAGCCTAAGAAATCACACTCTTAGGATGGGGGGAGGGTTGTAGCTCGGTGCCAGAGCACTTGCTTTGCATCCAGAAGGTTCCAGGTTCAATCCCTGGCGTCACCAGGTAGGGTTGGGAGAGAATCCTGCCTGAAGTCCTGGAGATCACCTGCCAAACTGTGTACTGAGCTAAATGGACCTATTATTATTATAGTGGTACCTTGCGTTATGAACTTAATTTGTTCCGGAGGTCTGTTCTTAACCCGAAACCGTTCTTAACCTGAGGCGCGCTTTTGCTAATGGAGCCTCCTGCTGCTGCTGCGCCGCTGCATGATTTCTGTTCTCATCCTGAAGCAAAGTTCGCAACCCGAGGTAACTACTTCTGGGTTAGTGGAGTTTGTAACCCGAAGTGTTTGTAACCTGAGGTACCACTGGATTATTATTATTATTATTATTATTATTATTATTGTTATTACAGTGGTACCTCGAGTTACAGACACTTCAGATTACAGACGCTTCAGGTTACAGACTCTGCTAACCCAGAAATAGTACCTCGGGTTAAGAACTTTGCTTCAGGATGAGAACAGAAATCGTGCTCCAGCGGCGTGGCAGAAGCGAGAGACCCCATTAGCTAAAGTGTACCTCACGTTAAGAACAGTTTCAAGTTAAGAACAGACCTCCAGAACGAATTAAGTTCTTAACCAGAGGTACCACATTATTATTATTATTATTATTATTATTATTATTATTATTATTATTTTAATAATATCATCAGGGATTCCCATGCTCTGCCACTTAGCCAGGGGCCTTTCCCAGCATGTTATGTCATGTAAGAATGTCTTTCCACTGTGCTATATGCACTCTCCCCACATGTAGATGTGGAAGGGATGCCATGGGTCATCTAGTCCAACCCTCTGCAACACAGGAATCCCTGACAGATTGGCCAGCCAACCTCTGTTTCAAAAGCTCCCTTTTTTATTTTGAGACAGAACCACAGTTGCCATGGACCCTCTTCAATGAGTTCTCCTCCACCTCCTCTTCTTCTTCCTCCTCTCCTCCTCCTCCTCCTCCTTCTCTCTCTCTCTCTCTCTCTCTCTCTCTCTCCTATCACTTGCTTGATTGCAAAAAACAAGCAAACAACCCTCCAAGTGGTTTACAGAAGGATAAAAGACTAAAACTGATAAAAATTCACAACCATCCTTTAAAACATACACAAGTTAAAAGACTAAAACAGATTAAAAGCACCTTTACTTTCCAAGCCTCTGTCTCCATGCTGCAGGTTCAACCATTTTTATGTATTTATTTTGAGCACTTGTACAGTGGTACCTCGGGTTACATACGCTTCAGGTTACAGACTCTGCTAACCCGGAAATAGTACCTCAAGTTAAGAACTTTGCTTCAGGATTAGAACATAAATCGTGCAGCAGCGGCACAGCAGCAGCGGGAGGCCCCATTAGCTAAAATGGTGCTTCAGGTTAAGAACAGTTTCAGGTTAAGAACGGACCTCTGGAACGAATTAAGTACTCAACCTGAGGTACCACTGTATCCCACTCCTCAGCCCCCCCCAAGCTCACAGAGCAGCTTAACATACAATTACCATGCGCCATAGTACTTAACATTTGTGCACCTTTTTCAAAGTTCACCAGAAGCGTGATCAAGCTGTAATTAGATATGGCCAGCCATTCTGCTTTTGCATGTCTTCATCCTCAAATCCATTCTGTTTGATTTCAGCACTGCTAGACATGAGAGCATGAGAAGAGTCCTGCTAGATCGGGCCAAAGGCCCATCCGGTGCAGGATCCATCTCCCATAGTGGTTGACCAGATGTGCATAGGAATCCTGCAAGCAGAATCTAAATGCTGCAGCACTCTGCTTTCCTATGGTTCCTAGCAACTGGAGTTTCGAAACATGCTGCCTCCAACTTCTTTCAACATCTCTTGCTGCCTGGGTGGTCATTTTGGGCGTCTAACTAGGTTGCAGGACTCTGGACTTTGTCTCCAAGGTCCAGGCCTAACTGCACCACTGGGACAGGTGTCAGGATGTTGGGGAAAGACTCGAAATGGCAGTGCTCTCTCTTGGCAACAGCTTCCTTCCACACATTGAGAAAATGGCTACCACCCTTTCATCACATTGATGGTCTTCATATTTGTTGAAAGCATCCGTTGTAGGCTCTGAATGATTGATAATCCCTTTCAGAGGCTGACTGTCATTGAGATGCTGATTCAACTGAGCTCTGTTTCCCTTCATTTCCGTATCAGCTGTATAGCTTCATTGATCGCAGGGATCAAGGGTTTCTTGTTCTGTGGCTCAAACCGAAGAATGAAAAATTAAAGGGACGATTCATCCATATCACAATTCCCAGATTTAATGAATTGGCTGCTGCTTCTGTTGATGGTTGAATATTCATTGCCTGCTGGCATCATTGACTGGGTGTCAGAAACAGTTACTCGTGCTGTAGGACTCTGCAGTAGAACTTCAAAAGATGATACTTTATGGTTTTGCTGGCAGAAGGTCCCAGGTTCAGTCCCTGACATCTCCAGCTAAAAGGCCCACAGGGCAGCTGTTGGGGAAGACTTTTATCTGAGACTTTGGAGCATCACTGGCAGTCAGAGTAGAAAAGCAAGATGGAAGAACAGTCTGATCTGGTTGCACAGTAGATGCCCAGCAGAATCCAAATCCCACTTCATAATTTTCAATATGACATATTATGTTCACTGCTAGTCCTACTCTGAGCAAGCCCAGTTAATGGATATGAGTAAGAGAGTCAATGTGGTGTAGGTGGTTAGAGTGTCAGACTAGTAACTAACAGACCAGGGTCCGTGTTAAGTTGTGGGTGAACATATCAGATGACACAGCGATTCTTCAAACAGCTCTTGTTTATTCACAGGCCAGAACAGAACTGAACTGAAGGGTTCAGTCAGCCTGCTTATATAGAGCTCCAGTACAACGTAACTGTAACAATTTTCTAAAACTATCCAAACACTGAACGTCACTTTCAATCCCTTATTTGCATAACTATCTACAGTATCCCCCTTCTGGCCCAGGGTGAGAACTTCAGTACATAACAGTCCAAATCCTCATTTGGCTATAAGAATTTCACTAGGTGGCCTTGGGCCAGTCATTGCCTAACCTACACTACCTTGAGCTCCTTGGAGAAAAAGATGGGATATAAATGCAATAAACAGGTAAAAATAAACTATGACTTTGTTCACATTCCTGTGATTTTCTAGTCCATGGTTTTTAATTTCCATTCAGATTACTTTGCTACGAGATACCACTGCTTGAACCCCCCAGAGTAGCTGGGGAAACAGCCAGATGGGTGGGGTATAAATATATTATTATTATTATTATTATTATTATTATTATTATTATTACTGCTTAATGTGTTGCTTCTCAAACCAGCTTCAAATTTGTCTCTAGCCAAGATGTGAACATGTTTGAATACAGGAAAGACATCTCTACCCAGCCAATGTCTCCTGGCATGTACACAACCAGAAAAAAATTGCACTCAGTTTTGCCTTCAGCTTGCAATTTACTTGACATCATCCATGCAAAGCAGAGGTGGGAAACCTTTTCAAGCTGGAGGGCCACATTCCCTTCTAGGCAGACTTCTGAGGGCCACATGTCAGTAGCGCATGACATTCAGAGTCAAAAGTGGATGGCTCAAGAGTATAATCTTCACCTTTGTATGGTAGTGTAATTTCTACACTCACACCCCTCTCTATCCTCCATCCAAGCAAACAACAGACATTATCAGAGTTCAAAGTTGATTGATTGAGTTTATTTATATGCCACTTTCCCACAATGAGCTGTGCCCAAAGTCATTTACAGCAAACATTCAAAACATTGAAATACAGTGCACTGGAAATCCAAACATACAAAATGCAGAACATGCCAGTAAATTAAAAAAATAATAATGCATCAACTATTTGGTAAACAAAGAATAAATTCAGTATTACAAAACAACAACAATTCAGGCTTAAGAACATAAATTCAAAGCAAATCAAGGGTTAACAAAAAAAAAAGTTTCTGGTACAGGTCTTGTTGCACTCCAAGAAGCCTGGATTAAATACAGTTCATAAGGAAGGTTACATGACATACAACTGGCATACAGGTTAGATGACATATTGCTGGCTCCCACATCTTTCCTCCAGAGGAGGCTGACAGCAGCAAAAGGCAAATGTTGGGGAGGTCAATGACGATATGTATCTTTCTGGAAGTACCAACTGCTGGTTATGCCTTATTGCACTTATTGCACACATTCCAGCCATGCAAAAGCACTCAAGGAGGGTGCTGAGCATGGACAAATGAGGATAGTCTATTCTGGTCCAGGAATGGCCATAGGCAAAAAACTAGCCTCAACTGGACATAAGCACTCTTGGCCACAGAAGCCACTTGGGAGTCCAGTGATAATGTGGAATTCAGGAGTACTCCTAAACTATGCAACTCTTCCTTTAAGAGGAGCACAACTGCTCTCAGAACTAGTCATCCATCTAATTCCCTGATGTAGTCATCATTGCTGGACAACTTCTCCTATCATCCCAGGGCACTGGTTGCACTAGTTGGTCTGATGAGAATTGGAGTCCAAAAGATTAGTCAGGTTAGGGAAGGCTGTTCTAAGGATGCAACAGCATTACGGAGTCCTTTTTCATTAGTTTTCTTATCCTGTCACACCAATGGGAAGAAGGATAGCATATTTCGTGATGATGCTTAGAATATACTTGAGCATGGTTGTTGCTGAAATGGAAGAAACAAGGTTGGAAATGATACAAATAATCTACAAAGCATGACTGATTTGCTTCATGTCCCTAAAGTTAAAAGGACTGCAGTCTAAAACAGACTGTAAATTATTCTGTAGTTCCAGGTCAAACTCAGGACCCCTGTAAAACCAACAGAGAGAAGACAAATGAGGATTGTCACCGAATGACTAATGAGGACTCTCGAGGCAACTCAAATACTGAAAAGAAGAGTAGGGTTTATCCTTGCTTCACACATCCCCACTCCCTATATGTACACCTAATTAAAAACAATCAAATCCTGGGTAGAGAAAATGAGAAGCAAAGAACAAATCAGAGAAGCTCTAACAGGAAATAAAATAACTTGGTTTAACAGTATACAACTGGAGCA